AGAAAAAGTCAAGGTATCTTTATTTCTAGACTATATGATTGCGTATATAAGTGATCCTAAAAATTCTACCTAGAAACTTCTAAAATTGATAAACATCATCAAAAAAGTAATAGAATACAAAACTAATACATAAATCACAATAGACCCACACATATATAATATATTTGCTCTGTTCAAGCAAGTGAAAGACTTGTATGATAAAAACTTTAAGGCATTGAAGAAGAAATTAAAGACATCAAAAGATATAGAGATATTCCATACTCATGGATCAGTAGATTGACATAGCAAAAATGGCCATCCTACCAAAAGCAATCTACAGACTCAATGTATTCACCATCAAAAATCCAATTGTTCATAATCCTTGAAAGGGAAATTCTCTACTTCATATGTAAACACACACACAAAAAAATCCAGGATAGATAAAACAGTACTGAACACTAAAATATCTGCTGGAGGTCTCACCATTTCTGATTTCAAATTGTTCCACAGAGTTATAGTAATAAAAGCAGCATGGTATTGGCATGATCATGGAAAGTTGAAAACAGAATTAAATTGAAGACCCAGTCATAAATCCATTTATCTATGGACACATGATTTTTTATTAAAAAATCAAAAATATACAATAGGAAAGAGACAGTATTTTCAACAAACAGTGCTTGTCCAACTACATGTCAGTGTGTAGAAGAATACAAATAGATAAAAAGTTATGACCCTGTACAAAACTCAACTCCAAATGAATCAAAGACCTCAACATAAAACCAGATACACTTAACCTGATAGAAGAGAGTGGGAAATAACCTTGTGTGCATTGGCACAGGAGATGACTTCCTGAACAGAAAACAGATAGCACAGTTACTAACATAAAAACTTAATAGATAAGCAGGGCAGCGAAGGTGGAGGTGCATGCCTTTAATCCCAGCACTCAGAAGCCAGAGCCAGGTTGATCTCTGTGAGTTCGAGGCAAGTCTTGTCTACTGAGTGAGATCCAGGACAGGCACCAAAACTACACAGAGAACCCTGTCTCAAAAAACCAAAACAATAATACTAGTACTACTACTACTACTAATAATAATAAATAGCACCTCATGAAACTGAAAAGCTTCTATAAGGCAAAAGACATCATCATTCAGACAGAATGGGAAAGTAAAATACAAAACAGAATTTCTATGAGAATTCATCTTACAGCCAGCCTGGCTAAGACTAATAAAACACATGTCAGCTCATGCTGGAGAGAATGTAGAACAAGAGGAACACTCTTTCATTGCTGGTAGGAGTGCAAACTTGTACAGTCACTATGGAAATCAATATGGTGACATCTCTAAAAGCTGGGAATCAATCTACCTTAAGATCTAACTATACCACTCTTGGGCATATACCCAAAGGACACTCCATCCTACCACAAGGACACTTACTCAACCATGTTCATGTAATAGCCAGAAGTTGGAAAGAACCTTGATATTCCTCAACCGAAGACTGGATTAACAGTATATGGTATGCTGTGAGTTGCAGAAATATGAAGTAAGAATTCAGCTGATATTGGTAAAGCTAAATACCTGGAAGATCTCTTGGGAAGCCCTTGGCTTCCAGAGGGAAGCCAAGACTCATGGAATATTGGTGATGTTGGCTTTTGAATGTATTAGCTGTTTCCCACAGTGAATTTCCTGTGTGCTATTGTAGCTTTCCCATTTGATTCTTTTCCCAAGAACTCCTAACAGTGTGGTTGATCACTTACTGGATACAACTTCCCCTGTACAACTGGGGTATTTGGATAATATTCCCCAGCTGTGCTTGATGGCAATCATAGTCAAGAACCCTTCCCCAAAATCAGGCCTTTGTTCCTGTCTCTAGCAGACTTAGGGTCTGACTTTCTGTAATTATCTTCATTAGCAAACATCTGTTCAGGGCCATCTCTGACCAAAAGTATTTCAACTGAGATACTTCTCAAACATCCAGGACGGAACGAAGATAAATAAGCATTTAGACTGCAGGTAGCTAAGCATTAGCTCATCTCACCTACGGATAGAGAAGATAACCTCACTAACCTTAAATCCTTAATTCCTGTTTATTAACACAAGGCCCTAATTTAAGAGATTTACTGCTTGTTTTTACCAAGTTGGTATTCAGCCATCTGCTAGTTCCTGGAATATGGTAAATAATTCCATTGAAACTGTGAGCCAACCACAAAGGCCAGGTGGATGATGGGTACAAAGCGTCATTTCTTGTGTAAATAAAGCTTAAATCCTCCCCTTTTTCTCATAGCCCAAGTGTTATCCTTAGTTCTAAAGATCTCCCTTTGGCTATTAACCCAGAATGAAAGTGCCTGTATGAACCAAATGCCACACATCGTGATGCAGGTTGCCTAGCAACCAAATAAACTTGCCCCACCCTACTAGAAAGTGGCACAACTGAGATAAGCTGAGACAAAAATGGCACCAAAGGAAGAAAAGACAGTTTTACTTTACTAGTGACTTATACTGACATATGGACTCTTAACATCTTACCTAACCACTTCTAAGAATATAGTCTGAGCACATAAATCCCTTTTAGATCGCTTAACCAATTTTAGCCCTTAGTTGATCCTACCTCCTTTAGTCACTCCTCTTTTGGGTTGTAAATGAAAGCTGACAATCACTGCTCTTGTGTGGATTTTATCACCTTTCTTTATGACCCTGAAAGCCTTGCATTGCATTGTCAAAGTATTACTGCTTGTAAGTGTACATAAACTGATACCCCCACAGCTCTGGTGGAAATGACTTAGAATAAAGTGAGTGGACTAAATAGCTTAGTGTGCTTAGATTCATTTGATGTCCCTCAGATTAATTCTCAGCCACTAATACTGTCTCTTATGGACTCTGGGAGATTTCTCCACCAGGCAGGTACCAGTGGGGAATTTGATAGTGGTATGTTTACAAATAGAGTGTTTACTTAGCTGTTAAAAAAATGAATTCACAGGCAAATGGACAGAACTAGAAAAAAATCATCCTGAGTGAGGTAACCCAGACCCAGAAATATAAATATGATATGTATTCACCTATATGTAGATATTAGCCATTAAATAAATGATAAACAAGCTACAATCCATAGACCCAAAGAGGTTAGATATAGAAGAACTAAGAGGGACACATGGATCTCACTGGGAGGGGAAATAGAATGTACTTTATAGATGAACTGGGGGCTTATGTGGACAGGAACTGGAGGATCAGGAGGGCATGGGGAGGGGAGGCAGGGTTGTAGGAGTGAACACAGGGAGAGGCAGCTGAAACTGAGTTGCATTTGAGGTATGATGTGGAAACCTAGTACAGTGGAAACTTTCTAGGCTATATGAAGGTGATCCTAATGAGGTTTCCTAATAATGGAGTGTAGCTAGAGTTTTCCTGCCTGGCCCACAGTCAGGACAAATCTCTCTCACCCGCCAGTCCCACAGATGCTCAGACCCGATCAAGTAAACACAGAGACTTATATTGGTTACAAACTGTATTGACGTGGCAGGCTTCTTGCTAACTGTTATTACAGCTTAAATTAATCCATTTCTATTAATCTATACCTTGCCACGTGGCTTGTGGTTTACCGGTACTTTACATCTTCCTTGTCCTGATGGCGGCTGGCAGTGTCTCCCTTACCCAGCTTCCTGTTCTCTCAATTCTCCTCTCTGTTAGTCCCGCCTATACTTCCTGCCTGGCCACTGACCAATCAGTGATTTATTCATTGACCAATCAGCAACACATTTGACATACAGACCATCCCACAGCAATGGAGTATATGGAGTCCCAACTGGATATCTCTTGTCACCAAATGAGGCTTCTAGTACCATGACTGGGTTGTAGTCAATTGAGTTGTTGGCCAAGGACATTCCATAGAAATCCGTAAACAACTCAGGCTGTTGCTAAGACAATGGGTTGCTCTTGACAAACTGACAGTGGGGAGCCCCATTGCTGAGGACAATATCCACACAAATTATTGAACATGGAGAAATTTAGCTGATGTTTACATGGATCCTTCACTCCTACATTCTAGTGTCTTTGGTAGGGGAAGTTACTCTGCAGGCTACCAAAAGAGAAATGAAACAACCAACTCTGTTACAAAACCTTTGACCTACAATCTGTCTACCTCTAAGATATGGTGGGGCAACAGTGGCACAGAACTTGTGGGAATAGCCAACCAAAATCTGATTAAATTTAAGGCCCACTTCATGAATTGGAACCTATAACCAACACTGTTTTGGTGATCAAGAACCAGAGACTAGACAGCCTAGAGACATAGGGTAAAACCTAATATTACTGTTTTTTTTTAAAAAAAAGCTTATCAATAACATGACTCCTAATGATATTATGCTATATTCATAGAGCAGTGCCTTATTCTGTTATCATCAGAGAGCCTTCCTCCTGTGGCAGACAGGAATAGACATAGAGACCCCCAGTCAGACATTACATAGAGAGAGTGTCCTTGTAACTCACAGCTCTAAATGGGATGTCTCATTCAAATTCCTCCCCTAAGAGCTCAGGAAACCCTATGGAAGAGAACATAGAAAGTGTGGAAGAGCGAGAGGGTATGGAGGACACCAGGATGACAAGGCCCTCTGAATCAACTGAGCAAAGTTCATATGAACTCACAGAGGCTGAAACAGACAGCACATGGTCTACATGGGTTTGTACAAGTTCCTCTGCATATGTATTACAGCTTTCAGATTAGTATTTTCATGGCATTCCTGGATCACTGATTGTTATGCTTGTTCTTGGGACTCTTTCTTCTCTTGTGTTATATTGTCTGGCCTGGATGTGATGGTTTTTGTTATTTATACTTTATTTTGTCATGTTTGGTTGTTATCTCTCAAAAGTCCATTTTTTTTTCTAATGAGAGACAGAAAGGGAGTAGATCTGGAGGGGAGGGGAGGGGAGGAGGAAGGAACATAGGAAGGGAAAACTGTAATCAGGGTATATTTTATGAGAAAAATCTTTCTTTTTTTTTACAAATATTCTTTTTTTTTTCAAATTTTATTTAATTAACATTTTTAATTTATTTTATATACTGACCACAATTTCCCTTCCCTCCTCACCTTCCATTCCCTCTTCTCCCTCACCTTCCATCTATCCTCCACCCAATCCACTCCTTCTCAGTCTCATTCAGAAAGGGACAGGCCTCTGATGATCTTGAACAAAGCATGACACATCAAGTTGAGGCAGGACCAAACTCCTCCCCCCTGCATCAAGACAGGATGAGGTAATCAAGTACAGGGAACAATTTCCAAAAGCCAATCAAGTGCCAGGGACAAGTCCTGATCTCATATCTAGAAGACTTACAAACAGACTAGGCTAAACAACTGTCACACACAGAGGGTTTAGGTCTGTCCCATGAATGAAAGAAAAAAATGAAAAAAAAAAGAGCTTCTAATTTATTATTTGTAAGGTAAATATCCCTTGAAGGTGAATTTGTAATGATAATAGTTCATCCATTATGACTTACTTTAATCTTACAAGGCACATTATTTCCTACTCTTAAGTATTGGTTGTTTCATTAAAAGTTATTTCCCATATTCATTACCATATCTTATGATCTTTGATTACTAATTGGATTATTGAGCTCATTTACAGATAATACAATTATTGGATTGTACTATATAATACATTGTTATTTATTAAACATACTATTATGTTTTCAGTATTAGTGGTCTTAATTTATTCCACCTACATTTCTTTTGGGTTGTATCAGTTATATTTGAAGTTGACCAACTTAATGTGTTTAGCTGAATTGCATGTTCATAGAATTTTTCAAGCAGCACTGTAACCAAATGACAGACATTTTTATTATGCCCAGAAGAATTATCCCTCCTCAAAATTTTTACACACTTAATTTAGGCAACTTTAATATTGTTTGTTTCTATTGCCAAGTACATACCCATCAAATGGCATAAAATAGTTTGTTACCTTTTGACCATCTTATTTTATATGAAATTATATTTTAAGGATTCATCTATGCTCTACAAGTTAATTTGAAAGTATTTCTCTTAATCCCTAATTAAATTTTTTTGCATTTTTCTAGTATATTTACCTAGAAGTGAAGTTGTGGCATCACGTAGTTACTTTATATTTACAATTTTGAATTAGAAAATTTCTGTTCAAAATGGCTGTGCCAGTTTGCATTCTTATCATCAATGCCTGATAATTTCAGTTTCCCATATCTTCTTTAATTCTATCATTCTTTCTTTATTATGACCTCCCTATTGTGTACAAGGAAGATCTCCTGGATACAATTTGTACTTCCTAATGATGAACAATGCTGACATTTTCTGTGTTTATTAGTCATTGCTTCTTTGTGGGTAAGTATGCACTCCAATCCTTTACCCATTTTAAAATTGGTTGTCTTTTTATTGATCTTTTAGTTTTAAAACATCTATTCTATTTGTACCACTTACAACATGTGCTTAGAAAATTTCCTACGATGTTTTTCCTATACATTTTTCTTTCATCAGTAATGACGTTATAAAACATGATCAAGGACTATGTGAACTTGGTTGTTGTTCCTGAGGCTTTTAAAATTATGTCAAATGAGCTCACATAATATGATGTCACAAAGGTAAACACATGATTTCATGGGTATTTTGTCATTTATATTTGACTCCAGTATTCGTTTTCAGGTTATTCTTGTATATAGTGTCAAGTAGCGTTCAACATCAGTCCCTTTACTATGCCTGTCAATGACTTTAATTCTTTTTCAATCACTTCCTTTAATCTTTGAACCCATTTAATATTGGGCATAGGACATTTCTTGTTCAGTACATTATCTATTCTTCCCAATGAACACATTTTATTGTTCATTTTCACTAGGGATCATGCTCACCTGCTCTGCTCTTTTTCTTAAAAGTTTGATATTCTAGATAATTCTATGTGGCAACTGTGGAAACTATAAATCAGATCTCCTTCCTACTTAATTTTTGCTTGTTAACTGAGAAGAAAACTAAACATTCAATAAATTTGGAAAAACATCTGTAGATTAAGGAAGAAACTGGATAGAACAGACACGTTGCTGAAGACTTTATGAAGGATTGCAAAGTTCTTTGGGTGGAGAAACTGGAATGGTATCCCTAGGTTTTAGCAAAGAGTTTTTATTGCTCAACCACAAAGCTATAGTCTACTAGGAACAAACTTGAAGGCCATTTAATAACTTAGGGTGTGAGGAGACAGGAACTAGAGGCCCTTTCGGCTGAGGACTCAGAGGCATTCAGACTGAGGATTCATGGAGAGAGGATCAGCTGAGGAGTTGGTGAGGTAGGAAGTGGCTGTGACTTGTTTCCTCTGATCTTTCAGCATTTATCCCAATATCTGGCTTTTATTATAGATCACTTAGAATTTGTGAAACATCTGGCATCCAACTTTTGGGACATGAATTCATGAAAAAGCTGCTTGCCTGTGGCTAAAGCCACCAACTCAGGCCAGAGCTACATGCAGCCCGAGTCCCCATCCTATTTTTGCCAAAGTCCCTACTTTGTTGGCTATGTTTTTGTTGCTGCCTCTCTGCAGCAAACTCCATTGACTTTTGGGCTCCCAAAACCACAGGAGTTTGCCACTTTCACACATTTCCCTGTGCAGACAGCTAACTCCACAGGCACAGGCCCAAGCCTAAGCCTAGGCTCTGGCCAAGGCCCAGGCTCAAGCACAAGCAGAAGCCCAGGCCCAGGTTCAGGCTCCTAACATGCCAGAATTAGCCACCTTCACAGGTTTCCCCACACAGATGGTTAGTTTCTTCCCTCTGGCTTTCTTTGGACCCCCCTCCTTGGGCTGCTGCCACACTAGGTAGCTGTCTCACTTCACTGTCATATGAATTGTCATTGTCAGCAGATTTGGTGAGTCAACTGGGAATTCTAAAAGGGAGAATTTAGTTAAAAGAGAGTTTTTTCCCACATTAAAAAAAGTGACAAACACTATTACAATGGAAGGAGTTTGGTCTCTGTTTGACTATAAACTAGACAATCTCAAAACAGAACAATTAAATGATAGGATAATTAATGTTGATGGGATTTATGCAATGACAATTATTCAAATGATCTGATCATTTCTGTTTTATCATTTAAAAAGTTGGTTAATATGAGTGCCAAGATAAAAGTTTTAGAAAAACTTATTAAAACAGATTATAGAGATATTCAGACCCAGACAGAAGAATTTAAAGGAGATTTATATTATAAGGTTATACAGAAACAGTCTAAGGCTTTCAAAAAGCCAATCTTAATTTATCCAATAACTTTATAGGAACTACCAAATGATAGGTATCCCCAAGACTGTATAAGAGCTGATTGGACTCCTGTGCAAATGTTAGATTTGAGGAGATTCAAAGAAGCGATAGTCTCATATGGCATGCACTCACCATTTGTGAAACAGAGGTTAAATTTGTGGTCAACTTGTAATAGAACTATTCCTCAAGACTACAGAAATTTGGTAACAGCAGTCTTAGAGAATGGTCCCCAATTACAATGGAGAATCTGGTAGAAGGATGAGGCTAAGACTGTTAAATAATGAAATAGGGCTAGAGACATGGAAATCTCCTAAGATCAACTTTTTGGAGAGGGAGATTATGCTGATATACAAAGACAATCTTCATATGATGATCAAACCCTGGCTTTATGCTGAATGGCAGCCTTGAATGCTTGGGACAGAATTGAAGAAGTAGGAAAGAAAATTGAGTCCTTTACTAAAGTTATACAGGGCCCAAAATAATCCTTCACTGATTTCTTACAAAGACTGACTTTAGCAATAAATAAAATGATACCAAATTCAGAAGCTAGAGAGATAATAACTGAATCTCTGGCTTTTGAAAATGCTAATGCACAATGCAGAAGGGTAATTAGGCCATTAAAAGCAAGATCAGCAGCCATGGAGGAATGGATCCAAGATTAAATCAATACTGGATCTCATGACCATGATGGTGTTTGGATAGGAGAGGTGATTTCCAGAGATTTAAAGAATAATAGTAATGTCAAATGTTTCAATTGTGGTAAACAAGGTTACCTAAAAAGGGACTATAAATAGAACATTCCTAGAAACAACATTTTTTCAAGGAATAATTCCAACAGACTTCCCCTCCCTTCTGGATTATGCAGAAGGTGTGGCAAAGCAGATATTGGACTAAGGCATGTAGGTCAACAAGGGACAGACAAAGTAATCCCTAATGGTTGCCATTGAGAAACACTGTGAGGGGCCTCTTGCAGGCCTCCATGTCAAATTCTGTTCAGCTCTTTCTTGTCATTGTGGAGGAGACTCTTTCTCAGAACAATTAAATAACATAATGCCTATTATAAAAAAAAAACAAACCATACTGCTCTGGATGACAGAACAGCTATAGAAGAGAGAACAAAAAACTAAGGAGAAATGATAAGTCAAAAATGATTAATATTATTAGATTAGCAAGTTCCCCAAACTTAGGGTTGGGGAACGGTTTTGTTTTTATCTCTTCAGGAAAATAAAAACAACCATCTTGAGGAATTTAAAGACCTTTGGACAAAGAAGCATCCAAAGAAGAAGAAAGAACTACCTGGAAAGAATTACCAAGAAAAGAAATAATCTGTCCTAATACAATCTCTGAAGTCTCCAAAAAGATGATGGGATCCCACAACGATGATTCCACATGGACTATGATAATGCCACTGAGCTGACAAATATCACCTAAAGATCAATTTTGGACTACAAACTGCTCAGGACAACTTTGAGATGGCTAGCTGAGATGATCCAGCCTCACAGACTATTCTAGCCAGGACTTGAGACAAGCTCTGAACTTTCCATTATGCAGACACTGGACAAATGATACTAACTCTCCCAGGACTTGACAATTAACCAAAAATTTTTCTTTTCAGGATCTCCTAGAGATGCCTTTGGCCCCAGACAGCAGGAGGTAATTTTAAGAACAAATTGCCTACATTCCCATGAGGTGGGGTGGATGATTTTTGGTCATTCAATGAAATATGAATATTTGTCATTGTTTTGGTGGTTGATTATAAGTTGTTATTGGTAATGGTCAGTAAAAAAGCTAAACAGAGGAGATTAGACTCAGGGTTCTTCTTTGGGAAAAAAAGAAAAAGAAAAAAGGATATAGATATGATAAGATAAAAGGTAGATTATTGAATCTACTCTAAAAAAGATACTGAAAAGGTAGGATAAAAAGGGAGATTATTGAATTTACTCTGAAAAGAAAAAGAGAGAATATAGATATAAGAAGATAGATATGCAATCAACCTTTAAAAAGCAACTACTAGTTTTAAATATTTTACATTAGATTGTAATTTTGTATATTGTATGTATATTGATACAAATTTGAGATTAATTTTCTTAGAACATACTAAACATATGTACTTCTAATCTTGTTCAAGGTATTGTAACTATACAGTTCATTTAACAATGTAATTCAAATTGCTAATCCTTGAAAGTTATTATTCCTAACTATTTAGGATAATAAAGAAATGCAGGTTAGCAGTTAGTAACCCATTATAGAAAACAAATTGAGTAAAAGCATGATATAAGCACGATTAAAGGATGGGAGGAAAAGGGAGAATGTCATCAAGACAGAGAAGATAAAGCCAGGAGTAGAGGAACGCAGGAAGGCATAAGGATATTTGCTGGAAGTTCCTAGAAATCATTGATGAAGAAGCTATGTTTCTCAAAGTCTTGTGCCAGAAAAATCTGAAATTATAAATATTGAAGAATTTTCTTTGGATGGAGGTCTTTGTGATTCTTTATGAGAGCCTAGAAAGGAGGAAGGCAAATTGAACTGTTGAGAACTGAGTGGGAGATGAACCAGCAGAGACAGTGAATTGCCATTGTTCTTCAGCATCTTGACTGACATTGGAAGACAGAAAGCAAAATAATTAGGAGAGATGCTGGTGCTACAGTTAGAAGATAACCAGGAGGATATGCAGGGAGGTGTGGCTCAAGATGATCTAGACTGAGCAGGTACTGTTTAGAGGGAAAAAAATGTATAATATATGAAATATTAGAAAGTCCATAACATCTTGTTTACCAACTAGAAAAATTCTAAGATTTTATCAATCACAGGAAGGAAAATGGAAAACAAAAGAGAAAGAGAGAGAGAGATTTTGTTTTGTTTTAATAAATACTAACAAAATGAATGTTACATATAGAAAAATTATATGTAATAAGTCTATTGGCTATCATCAACTGCCTGCATAGTTTCCATGGTGGAGGGGAATCAAAATACAAATGGAGAAAAGGGTACCCCCTTTTTAAGTTTTAAAAGGATAAAATATTTTTTTCATATTTATTTTCTTATTTCAAGTCAGGTTATAGAACCAATAATTTTTTTTCATCCATGGAC